TCATTCTGTTACATTTATACAGTAGGAATAAGGGTTAGGGATGGAATTAGACTTTGTGTCTAATTCCCTTTTCTACAGGATTTATAACAGAACTATTCTTATATCTCTAATACTCCCCTCTCAAACTTAGGGTGGTTGATCAAGTTTGGATTTAAGAAATAAGAATCTGTTGGTGGAGAGAGGCTTGGTTAGCACATCAGCCCACTGATCTACTGCAGGAATGTGGGAAACAATGAGGTTCTTGCCAATCACTTTCTCCCGAACAAAGAAAATGTCAAGTTCCATATGCTTGGTTCTTGAGTGCAGAACAGGGTTGTGAGCTAGAGATACAGCGCTGAGATTGTCACATAGTATCTTGGGAGTCTGATGGGTGATCTGAAGTTCCTGCAGAAGAGACTGAAGCCAGAGAATCTCTGCTGTGACTAAGGCCAGACTTTTGTATTCTGCCTCAGCACTGGATCTGGCCACAAGTGTTTGCTTCTTTGCCCACCAAGTAACAAGATTCGGTCCTAGGAAGATGCAAGCCCCAGAGGTAGACCTTCTATCGTCAGGATCATATGCCCAGTCTGCATCACATAGGCCTGTGATAGTGATAGGCAAAGTGAGGTTAGCAGGTGAGAGAAGAAGACCATGTGAAATTGTCCCTTGGAGATACCGGAGAATGCGCTTAACAGCTTTCCAATGATCCTCAAGAGGGTTTGAGAGGAATTGGCACACTTTGTTGACAGCAAAGGAAATCTCAGGTCGTGTGACAGTAGCATACTGTAGGGCTCCCACTATAGATCTGAAGTGGGTGGAATCAGCAACAGGAGCAGAGCCCACTTTGGATAGTTTGGTGCTTGAGGCCATATGGGAAGCAATTCCTTTGGCAGAAGCCATGTTGGCTCTGTGAAGCAGATCCCTGACATACTTGCTTTGAGAAAGCAGAAGAGAACCATTGGGAAGATGAGATACCTCTATGCCCAAAAAATAATCAAGCGTGCCCAACTGCTTGATGAAAGAATAGGAAGAGCCAGTGATGATAATGTCATCAACATATACCAACACTAAGGTGTAGCAGGATGGTGTGAGCATCATGAACAAGGAGGGATCACACCTGCTGGCAGTAAAACCCAGTTGGAGAAGAGACCCTTTGAGCTTATCAAACCAGGCCCTAGGAGCCTGTTTAAGGCCATAGAAGGCTTTGTGAAGCTTGCAGACAAGACCAGGTTCACCCTTTTTAAAGCCTGGTGGTTGAACCATATAAACCTCTTCATTAAGCACTCCATTTAGAAAAGCATTGTTGACATCAATTTGCTATAAGATCCATCCTTTAGATATGGCAAGCGTTAAAACAGTCCTCACTGTGATAGGTTTCACAACTGGTGAAAAAGTTTCAGTGTAGTCAAATCCTTCAACTTGATGGAAACCCTTATCAATTAATCTTGCTTTATATTTGTTAATTGTCCCATCTGCATTTTCCTTGACCCTAAAAACCCACTTACAGCCAATAGGTTTTCTGTGATCAGGAGCAGGAACTAGAGACCAAGTATGGTTCTTAAGTAATGCTTCATACTCAGCTTGCATAGCAGTTTGCCACTCAGGAATGGATAAAGCATGTTTATGTGAGATTGGTTCCAATTGAGTGAGAAGGAGAGTGGGGTGCAGCTTAGGTCGAACAATGCCATTTTTGGCTCTAGTGACCATGGGATGAGTGTTAAGAGGATGAACAGAGGTAGCAGGGGAGGAGTGTTCAGTGAATGGAGAAGAGATTATGCTGTTGCTAATGCCTACTGGGGAGGACTCAATATCAACTTGAGGAGGCACAACTGAAGAATCAGCTGAAGATGTCTCAGGATGAACAAAATGTGAAGAAGTAGAAGCAGACTGGGAGGGAGAAACAGGTGAACCAGGATCAGAATTGATGCTGCTTAAAGAAGGTTGCCTGTTAGAAAAACCAGGGGAATTAGTAGGTGACTGGAAGTGTGAGTGAGGACCAACAGAGGTAAGGGGAATAGGGTGGCCAGATGACGGTCCAAAAAAGGGAGTAGAGGAGGATTTTGAAACAGATGTAGATGGTGAGTCAGGAAATAGAGAAGTGTAAGGGAACCTGTGCTCATTGAATATAACATCCTTAGACACAAATATTCTGCCAGTAGGATCAAGACATTTATAGCCTTTGTGGGATGGAGAATAGCCAAGAAATAGGCACTCCTTAGAATGCATAGCAAGTTTGTGAGAATTATAGGGTCTGAGATGAGGAAAGCAGGAGCAGCCAAAGGTCTTTAAGAATTTGTAGTCAGGAAATTGAAAATACAGCAAGAAAAAGGGTGATTTATTATGTAGGGAAGGGGAGGGAAGCCTGTTTATGAGATAGGTAGCAGTGAGGAAAGCATGGTCCCAGAATTTTAAGGGTAGGTTAGCCTGAGCAAGAAGAGTAAGACCTGTCTCCACAACATGTCTGTGTTTACGTTCCACAGAGCCATTTTGGTGATGAGTATGTGGACATGTGACTCTGTGAGTTATGCCATGCATGGTTAAAAAGTGTGTCAAAGGTTTGAATTCACCTCCACCATCAGTTTGCACAGATTTGATTTTGAAGTTAAGTTGTAGTTCAACAAGAGCTTTAAACTGAATAAAGGTGGCAAGTGTGGCAGATTTTAATTTTAGAGGATAAATCCAGGTGTAACGACTGTAAGCATCAACACAGGTGAGAAAGTATGAATAGCCAGAGATGGAGGGAACTGGTGAGGGCCCCCACAAGTCACAGAACACAAGTTCAAGGGGTTTGGAGTAAACAGATTTAGATGAAGTAGATGGTAACCTATGTACTTTACCCAAACAACAAGCATTACAGAAATCAGAAAACTGTTTATTAGGAATGGAAATATTACACAATTTTAGAACTTGTTTAAGAACCTCAGGATGAGGGTGACCCAACTTGTGGTGCCACAGTTTGTACAGAATGGAAACAAAATCTAAGTTCCTATTATTACAGCTGGAATTGAACACAGAGGTAGACTGCAAAGAAGGATGTTGAGGGCAAGATGTCTTGCAAACAACACTGAGGACTTGAGAGGAAATAGGAGGAGGATTGCAGTCGAACTTATAAAGACCGTCACTCCCAAGGGAACCACTCAAAAGCACTTTAGAAGTATCCTGACATTTTACAAAACAGGCATTAGCATGGAACTCAAAGAATACAGCATTATCTTTGGCAAATTGACTCACACTCAGCAAATTTTTAATAATGGAAGGAACAAGAAGAAGATTATTTAGTTTCAAAGAAGTGTTAGGGCATAAATTTGAAGAGAAATTCATAGAGCCAAGAGAAGTTATGGACAGACCTTGGCCATTGCCAATGTGAACCTGATCATTACCAGGCAAGGATACAGAATCAGCAAGATTTGTAGCATCTGGAGTCACATGATGTGAAGCTCCGGAGTCAGGATACCACGCCTGGTTGTAGAAGGGAGAGTAGTTAGTGCCAGCAATCAGTGCCTGAGGCCTTGTACCAGAGTACTGAGATGCCAAGACAGGCACCACAGATCTAGCTTGATTCACAGCTGAAGAACCTGGAGCCCTAAAACCAGGTTGAGTCCACACATTTGGTTGACTGAAGCTGAAATTTCCAAAGGAAGCAGGAGCACTATAAGGAGGATAGACACCATAAGTGTCTTGAGAGTGTCTGTAATAGCAATAGCTAGCATCATGATCTGGTTTATAGCATATCTGACATTGCACAAAGTTTCTATAGCCGTTACGGCCACCACGTCCTCTGAATCTTCCTCCTCTATTGTTTTTGCCACGAGAATAGCTGCCACGACCAAAGCTTTGGAAGTTTCCACCACTGGTGTCAGGGATATCAGAATCTTGGGGACTGAGATTGGAACTTGGCATATTACCTTGAGTGAGGTTCACAGAGACAGTCTCAACAACTTCTTTCTTGGATTTCTCAATTCTGGCTTCTTGAGTGAGGAGAAGCGATTCTAATTCATCAATTGAAATGAAATCAGTCTTGGAGTTAACAGCAACAACAACTGAGTCAAATTCCGATGGTAACGCCTCAAGAATCAGTTCAATTTGATCACGATGAAGGACTGGATCACCAATTGACATTAAAGTATCGACAATGGTGCAAACTCGAGCAAGAAAATCAGAAATGGTTCTAGTACCTTTCGAGAGAGATCGAAGTTCCGATCTGAGTTGGCGAGACCGAGTCTTCATTTGCGTATGGCAGAGAGCATGAATTTCTTCCCAGACTTGCCACGAGTGACGAAGGAGAACGAATCGAGAGAGAAGCGAGTCTGAGATCGTGGATAACAACCACGTGCACAACAACGCATCCCGTTCTTCCCATGTGACGAAGCTAGGGTTCTCACTTCCGGTGTCACGACCGGCAACAGTGAGGTATCGTTCCGGTATCTGCGGTGAGACGACAAACCGCACCATTTTCGTGCCACGAAGAACTCCTTCAACCTGTTGTTTCCACTGTCGATAGTTGTTCTCATCAAGCTTGACTGAAATTTTCTGTTTGAAGGTGGAGCTAGCAGCGACGGTGCTGCCACCGCTTGCGGTGGACGGCAGCGATGGAGAAGCCATGAGCGCCGAAGATCAGAGATGAGCTCTGGATACCATGTTAGAAACAGAGAAGCACGAGTGAAAGGAAGAGAAAGGGGAGAGAGAAAGAGAGAGAAGGAAAACAGAAAGTTGTTATTATTCAGTTATTATTCTGTTACATCATTCTGTTACATTTATACAGTAGGAATAGGGGTTAGGGATGGAATTAGACTTTGTGTCTAATTCCCTTTTCTACAGAATTTATAACAGAACTATTCTTATATCTCTAAAAATTTCAACTATAGAATGTATAATACTTTTATAAATAATATAAAATTTTAGTTTATAGAATCGCTCATGTCAAGCAATTTTGAAGAGACCAACAAATTTTAACTAATCTAAAAATTAAAATAAAATTTACAAACAAAAGAACATTTAAAAATCCAAACAAATACACCAAATTAAAAAAACAAAAAATTATCATCTCTAGTATGATTTTGGCTCAATTTCTCAACCCAGACAATCTTATTACCATTGTCATCTTCTTTCTCACCCTTCTCCTTTCCATCTTTTTTAATCTCTTCCTTAATTTTCTCTTTTTCACCATTATTATCATTTTTAATTTTAGGAAAAAATATTCCATGAACAAACGATTCAACTTCTTTTCTCGAAAATCCAGCTTTGTCCACAATTTCATTAGGAGGAATATACGGTGGACGAGCAATTCCCAACACATTGTTCCACTTCACACTTTTAAAGAAATCGTGACCCTTTATTTCATCAATCTGAATCCTAAGGTCAGGATCTTTCTCAAGCAACTTCACAATCAAATCCTTCAACGGCGTCGTTTCACCCTCTAGTTCAGGCTCCATAGTTAAAATCTTTTGAAAAGTTTCCTTTCTATTAGGACTACTAAACGGCGTCGTTCCGTAAAGCATTTCATACAAAACGACGCCGAATGACCACCAATCAACAGCAAAGTTGTGACCTTTCCCCTTTATAACTTCAGGTGCCACGTAATCCTCGGTTCCCACGAAAGAGTTGGATTTCTCAACTGAGTCTGACTCGCTCCTTTTACACGTCGAGTTAGGATCAATTTGACTCACTGAGTCAAATTTCGGTTCCCCACCAGAAGGACGGTGACAATAAAACCGTGACAACCATTTGATCTTTCTGTTTTTTACATCTGGCGAGGTTGAACCTGGTGACGAGTTGCAACTCAGTGAGTTTGGTGATTTTGGATTTAGTTTCTTTGATAAGTCGAAATCTACTAGCATTATGTGACCACTTTGTTGAATCATAATGTTTTCGAGCTTCAAATCTCTATAAACTACTCCTAGATTGTGTAAATATTCCAATGCTAACACCAATTCCACAGCATAAAACCTTCACACAAAAAAAAACAAAACATAATTTCAGTAGTATAATGTCACCGTCTATCTATGAAACATAAATACTCGAACACGATCCGACATTGATACTGAAAAAATAAATTAATAAAACATAATTATATCGGGCAGATGTTTGGCACTACAGACATATCTTTTTTTCAAATGTGTCGGTATTAAATAGTTCATGACATTGATTGTGGTCGTGACCGTATAAAACAGTGATAATGACATATGCCGATACCATTGTGTTGCATAGTCGTGGACAGTTTTTTAAAAACCCTAGAAATAATTAAACGACAGAACTCTAAATAACACATTTTAAGAATTTACCATGCATGAGAAAATAAAAATCAATAGTAATACCTAATGGTTTCTTCAGAGAATTTTTTCTCCGGTTGTTTCTTCTTAAGATAATGCATATTCCCACCGTGACAATAATCCATAGCAGATCCAATAAGCTTCTCCGTTTCAAAAACCCCTTTTAACCGTGGCAAAAGAGGATGATCAAAACGACGTAGTATTTGTTGTTCAAACGTGACCCTTTTGCATTTATCGATTCTGTTACTATTCTTCTTCTGAAGAAGCTCTTTCGATATCACTTTCAAAGCCAACCATTCGTCTTTCGACGATCCGTAGATTCTCCCAAGAAACACAACGCCTTTTGCACCACGTCCGACAGCGGATATCACCTTAAGGTTTCGGAAGTCCAACGTTTCACCGCCGTAACTCATGACGGAGGTAACGCCTAACGGTACCTCGTACCTCGGGGTGGACCCCAAATCCGAAACTGTATTTTTCTTTTTAAGGAATGGTTTTTGGAAAAAGTCTTCTTTATATGAATGTTAGGGCGAGAGGCGTGATCCTGTGTGACTCTTTTTGTCAATATATCATGGACCGCACGTGCGTGGTATTGTGACACGTGGATGAAATATATATATATTTTTTTGAGTTGAACATTGTGGAGAGATTTTGGTTTGGCACAAACAACTCATTGATGGAGGATTACGTGTGATTTCAATGGGACGTTTTCAAAGATGAAATTGTGAAATGAGGTTATAATGGATTTGCTGAAAACGCGGAATTTGAACAAGAAAATGGAATGCATGATGCATAACGGATGAATCCGATCTGTGTTCAATACGTGTCTTTTTTGTAATGAAGCTTGTTCTTCTTTTATTTAGTCGACATGTAAAACCGTGTTTTGATGAATAAAAGATTTTGGTTTAATTACACGTTTGATATTCAGGTATGAATCATGTGATTATGTCGATTGGATATCCTACAATGTAGTTGTACTTGTGCCTATTTAGAAGAAACTATTTCGCAAATAAAATGTAATTTTAAGGAAATTAATTTTGAATTATAAAATCTATGGTTGTAAGATATATATAAAAGTAAATAAACTATTTTTAATCACTATTACTTTTTATTCCCTCACTGATTTTAGCGTTGAAGTGCTAATCTTGCATATTAGTTCTCTTTCTACTGTACCGAAAGCATAACTCCATTGCAGCAAAATGTTACCTCATCATTGAAGTTGCATTGTCTCTTTCTCTTGGATTTATGTTTTGATTGCTTGTTTTTTAGATTTTGGTTTTGTTTATATCTTTATTGAGTCTCATCATCGATTGTGCATCTTAGGGTAAATTTTAAAATTCGTTTCTACGCATGCATAAATCAATGTGTTTGGTTATAGTTTAAGAATTATATTTAAAGTCAATTTGTTGAGTTTTTTTTATCAAGAATTATATTTGAGAATGAATCAAGTCATGACAAAGTTAGAATTTCAAAAAGACTTTATATTTTGCAAAAATTGAGATTCTGAAAGTGTAATTCGAATCACACTATTACTTGACTCAAATCAGGATTACATAATGTCCAAGAATTGATTTCATGTTGCCATGATTCAGATCACAACATCCATGATTTGAATCACAACTGCTTGATTTGAATCACATATTACCTGATTCAAATCAGACAGGATTGCATTTTCATGGTTTTGCTTCTGTAACTCTGATTCAAATCACATATTTTCATGAATTGAATCATGTGATTAAATCACAAGTGTGTGACTCAAATCACACAAATGAATTCTCATATGTTCTTGGCTCTTGATTCAAATCATTTGATCTTTTGACTCGAATCATACTCCTTAATTATGACTAGAATTATACATCATTTTCACTCATTTTTATGCTAGATCTCGAGCACATGTAAAAGCTTATTCACTTAAAACCTCACATAATATTGGAAAATATACACTTCTACTATTGATTTAAAATTTTGCAACACACTTGTTCTCTCATTTTCAAAGGAGTTTTGAATTTGTTTTGAGTGTTTTGCAAATAAATTATTTCATCTTCGACCTCATTCTTTTCCATTTTTGTGTGGATCTAAATATCTTATTTAGAGGTGTGTGATTTTTAAGGAGATTCTATTATTGTGGTTAACGCTTGTGGGAATATTTCTTAAGATTTCAGAGATATGCAAAGTGTGTGTGGTTGTGGATGGTTTTGACAAGTCCAGCAGAAAAGAAAAAGGTTCTTCTTTCTAGAATTACTTTGGTAGTGATATGTGAAAGCCTACAGACAAAGTGAGAGTTCTTCTCAATATTCGGAAAAGCCAAGGCTTAAGATACCGGTAGGATCGAGGAAACATCATTGATGAACAAATACTTTGGAAGACTCAAGATGGTTTCGAGTAAATATTTCACGAGGATTTAGTTTGGATACTGTGTATAATTCAACGATGATTCAGATAGAAGATTTTATATTTTGAACATTATTCGAATAATGATTGTACTGAACATCTTGAAATTTGTCAGGAATTATATTGGAAGACCAAACTTTTTAATGGGAAACCATTGGAGAGTGAAGTAGGCTTAGCGAGGATGATAGCCGAACCACTATATATCCAGTGTACTATATTTTCTTTCTCTATTTTAATTTTTTAGAATTGCATATTTAAGTTGTTTTTATCACTTTCATAGAATCATATGATGTTAGGTTTATTTCCTTGGTAGCGGTATATCATTTAAGCATAAGTTTTGTTAGACTGACACTGCGATTTCTCTTGTTGTTGATTAAAACTAGAAATTGTGGTTTTTAATTATAATTTGTATTGAATATGTATACTTACACATCTCGTGTGAGTTGATCATTATTTGATATACCACTTTGATTAATTTGATTAATTGTATGATTCATTTTTTATATTTGTATACTGATTAAGGTATTTTTTTTTGTATATATCATTTGATAAGCACAATCAATTTTATACGTACTTTGCTTATGCTACATAAACCATTTTAAACACTGATTTGTTTTTCAAACAAAACGTATTTTCAAATTGGTCCAATTATTTTTGGGAGGTCTATTCACCCCTTTCTTGATTGTTGGATTCTTGTATTCTTGCCCAATAATTAGTATCAGAGCTGGTCTATTGATCATGTCTAAGCGATTCAGAAGTTGAGAAGATGGGAAACAACAATCTGAAGGGAGTGTATAGTAGAACTCCAATTTTCGAAGGCGAAAAATATGCTTATTGGAAGGACAATATGTATGTATACTTGATGTTTGTAGATAAAATGCTTTGGGTAGAAATCGCCGACGAGCCTTTTATTCCCAAAAACGAAGTCGATGGTTATGTTAAACTCCTTAAAAATTAGTCAAATGATGAAACCAAAAAGACATCCTATGATTTGAAGGTGAGGGATATACTTATAACCGCGTTAACCACTAAAGTATATTACTCTACTCACATATTAAGAGTGCACAATCAATGTGGAACGCTCTTCAAGTCCTTTACGAGGGAACTGAAGACATTAAGGATTCTATGTTTAATATGTTGAAAGAGGAGTATTAATTTTTCCGTATGGAATCGGTGAAACCTTGGAATCCATGCACTAATTTTCTCCATTTAATCAACAAGTTAGAAAATTTAGGAAAGTCTCTTTCTAACAAAGATTGTGCTAACAAAAATTTAAGATACATGTGCATGTAATGGTGTTGTACCCCAAAATTTGAACTCCTACTTCTCATTCAAAATACTATCCTAGGGTTTCTCGAATACTCAATTTGGCTCAAAAGTTGATCAGACAGATTCTCTTCCTAAGCAGTAAGTCAACAATTAGGATTTGGTATTTCTCAAGCGAAATCGAGTTTTTCAAAGTTTTAAATGATCTTCACGGTTCTTCATGTAATCTCAAGGATGCTTGTGCCAAGTTTCATTCCTTGCATCGCAAGTTTGCTCAGTCAATGGTGCAGATGACTGAAAATGACCCCATTGACCCAAAAGTCGACCTTTTGCGAGACCAAGTTCAAACGATCATAACTTCTTCATTATTTGATATTTTTGAGCGGTTCTTTTTGCGTATGATTCTCCTTTATGTCATCTCCATATTCTCTTCACAAATAAAGAGCCGATTACGTGTAGAAGATCACCAAAATTCGAATACGTTAGAAGTCTTATCATGGACTTTGACCTAATTTTAAGTAATTGTCATCTGATTTCTAAGAATTGTGATTTCCTCAAATTACAAGATCTTGAGACGATTATTTCTGCGTATGGTCATAAGTGATGTCGCTCACGAGTTTATCTTCAAAGATCGAAAGAAAATTATGTTTGGAAAACTTTGAAAGTTATCAAATCATCGCAAGCCATTTGTTTGATTTCAAATGTTCTTAATCGCAATTGTTTTTGAAATTTGTTACCTCTACAAGATTGGTGAATGTTCTTAAAGCATGTTTTATTCTGGAAATAAAGTTCTATTGTAATCGAGCATGGCGTACAAGTTCATTTTGATTACAAATTTGATTTGGACAAGATATGAAGATTAAGACTTTCATTTAAATGATCATGGTTTTGGGTTCGAGTTAAACAATTGGAATTGAATTCTTAAACATTTATTTTGTTTAGGAATTTAATTGGAATACAAGGCGCATGATTTATTTGAAATACAAGTTATAAAATTCATTTGTGATAGCTTGAGGTTCAAGTTACCAAACCAAGATGTTTTATTAGAAATTCAAGATTCATACAACAAATTTTATCATTCACAAATTTTATCATTACAATTGAAAATAAATTACAAATTTTTGTTTTGTTTACAAAGGATTACAAATCTATTGTTTACAAAGTGTTGTACCATAAAATTTTCCCTCTCATATTTCTCAAAACATTGCAAAAAAAATCTCCAAGTTGCTCAAAGTAGCCCAAGAATTGGTCAGACAAGCTCTCTCCTAAGGCAGTCTACCCCAAATTAGGGTTTTGTGTTGCATCAAGGTACTTGAGTCCAAGTGATCCCAAATGCTCACCAATGTCCTAATATGGTCTCAAGATCATCCATGTCAAGTTTCAAGCCTTGCAGAAGAAGTTTGCTCAGTCAATTGCTCAAAGGTCCAAAAATCGACTATGCTAGGGCCAAAGTCAACTGTGACCCATATACAGTCAAACTTCAAGTTTTTTGTCAACATTCTCATTTTGAAGGATATTTCATAATTTTATTAAGGGTTGATCATGATTCATCAAGGATTGCTCATAATTCATCAAGACTCAAAAGTTGCTAAATTAGGGTTTTGTAGGAAAAGTCAACTCAACTTTGACCAAACATAACTTTATCATACTTTATGAGAAATGACCCATCCAAAGCTCATTTTGAAGAGGATGAAATTCCCTACAATCCATATTCAGATCCAAAGTTCAAAATATGCATTCACAAGAAGTTATGAAT